GACCCTGAAGAGCTGTGATACCGCGTCGTCTCCGTGCTGCTCACAGTAGACGACGCGACCCTTAAGAGCTGTGACACTGCGTCGTCTCTGTGCTGTACCGTGCTGCCCACAATAAACAGACGACACTGTCGTCTCCGTGCTGTAACACTACGCTGCTTGCCCCGGCTCTCACTCCTTCACTCAAGAAACCTGTTCGGCTGTCCCCCCGGGACGGGACAGCATGGATGCCCAAAATCCCTAGAGGAGAATGGAGGAGAAGGAATTATGGCATGGTCATGCCCCAGGGAGGGGATTATTTCTCACTTTCTTTCTCTTTGACTCAGATGAGTGGAAGCATCCTGTAGGAAAGAAATCTCTCTCAAAAAATAGTAATAATGCAAGGCAAATATTTGAAAAGAAATCTTGCGCAATCACATTTAATTTTAGATTGTGAAAACACTAGTGCATATTTAAAATGTACATTTCTCTCTCTGTGTTGGGTGTGTGTGTTCATGTACATGTTAAAATATGAGCTTTTATGTGTGTATGTCTGTTGCTGGATTCAAGTGCTGGTACCTATTTTCCGTATTCATAAACTAAATTATCCTTAATTTTTCTTTTTCATATTTTTTTAAAGAATGACTTCATAAGAAATTTAGAAAGTATTATCTCTTTCTGTCTCTGGACTAGGTCACACAAAACTTATCCTCAATGTTTGGAATTATTCACCAGTAAAACAATACAGATCTTTTTCATTTTTTTGGTTTATATTTTAAATCACAGATTAAATTTCTTTAATAACTTTCAATTATTCCTATTTTTGTCTTCCATTTCTCCTAATTGAAACTTTAAGGCATTCATTCATTTTTAAAATAACTAAATATTTTATGCCTTTTTTGGTGTTTGTGGGCTGTGCAATATTTCCTATTTACTCATTTCTGATGTAGGTAACTTACAGCCCATGTTTACATGTGTGATGTTCTCTAGGGCTTTGCTATGTTGTGATCATTCCCCTCAGCCTCCCAAGTGCTGAGACCACAGATGCATGCAATCATGCCTGGATTTTCAGAGCAGGCCAGGAATGGAACCTGAGCCTCTGGGTGCTCTGACTACTGTGTCAACAGTGTGAGGTACTGGAGGCTAGGTTGACTCATCTTTTTTCTTCATTGTTCATTCTAGGGAGTTTGTGAATTCTATTAATCAATTTAATAACAAATTTTAGGATATGTCGATTTTACAAATTTTGTGCACATTTTCTATTTAAACTATTATTTTAAAAAGTTTTAAAGAATGTATTTATCGTCTCCATGAATGAGAGAGCCTGCACCTCCAACAGGGTCCTGATGCCAGTCCCCACCCATTCTCAGCCCGCCCAGCACATTCAGGGATGCCTCCAGGCAGGAACTTGGGCCTTCCCATGGGGCCAGCTTACAGAGCATCACATTTTACTATCACTACTGTCCCCATCTAGTACCTATATATATAAAGAGATAGATAGATAGATATAGATATATAATTGATCCAACCAACCAGTAGTCTGGTGATCAAGGCAGGTGAATTCACATGACCAACTTCACAGTTCAAGCCCCAGACATGATAGCTTGAGAAATGTGTATGCCCAAAATCTCTAGAGGGAAAAATAGAGATGGGATTGCAACGTGACCATGCCTATGTGGGTGCGTTACCACTTTCCCACTCTCTGTCTCTCTCTGGTGAGCACACATACCCTTTGTAAAAATAAATAAATAAATAAAATTGAGAAACTATGCTTTGGTTACCTCCTTTAGATAACCTTGAACTGAACCTTTTATCATTATGAAGTGCTTTCCAAATATCTAGTAATACCTGATGCTTAAATTTGATGGCATAACGGTTGCATTGTTGGACTCCCACATGACTGACCACAGTTCGAGTCCTGGATCCAGTGACTTGTAACTCACACAAGGCGTGGGTGTGTGTGTGTTTGTGTGTGTGTGCCCAAAATCCCAAGAGGGGAATAAAGGAAAAGGAATTGTGGCATAGTCATCTCCCCTGGGGAATGATATCTCTCTCTCTCTCTCTCTCTGTGTCTCTCTCTGGTGAGCACACACACCCTATAGCAAAAATCTCTCAAAAATACTGTAAAGCCTGATATGAGTATATCAAAATCTTTTCTTTTAGAGGCCAATAGGTGATGTTGTGGTTACGACACTGGATTCCCAGAAGACCAACCGCAGTTCAAGTCCTGGACCTGGTGCCTTGGAAATCACATCAGGTGTATGTGATTGTGTGTGTGTGTGTGTGTGTGTGTGTGTGTGCATGTCCCAAATCCAAGAAGTAAATGGAGGAAAAGGGATTGTGTTGTGGTCATCCCCTTGTGTGTGTGTGTGTGTGTGTGTGTGTGTGTGAGGGGGGTGATTTCTCACTTTCCCTCTCCCTCTGGCAAGTACACATGCCTTATGGCAAAAACCTGTGCTTTTTATCTTTTTGAGCATGAGCATGGTATATCACTTTCTTTCTCTTTTTTTCCTTTGGAGAGATTTTTGCTGTAGGGCATATGCACTTGTCAGAGAGACAAAAAGCAAGAAATCAACTGAGGGCCATGTCCACACCACAATCCCTTCTTCTCCATCCTTCTCTTGGGATCGTGGGCATGCATGCACATGCCTAGCATGAGTTTCAAGCTGCGGAGGCTGGGGCTCAAAAACGTGGTCAACCATGTGACAGTCCAGCACCCTAACCACTAAGCCACCTGCTGGCCCAGAAGGAAAATCTTAAAGTTAGTGATTTGACCAGTGGAATTGTCAGAAGAAAAGCATTGTTAGAACTCAAATGGTAAGAGAAAAGATACAGAGACCAAGAAACACATGCTGGAGAAAAATTAACCATCTCATTTTAACTGAGGCCAAGAATTACTTGGAGGGTAAACTGAAAATCAATTCATAAAAATTGTCAGAACAGTTTCAAAAGATTTGAGTGTTCTCTCTCTTTTTAGAATTGAGCCTTAATGTTATACAGAGTCACTAAAGGCTACTGAGTAGCAGAATGGTGTCATTAAAACATTTGGAGACCATCAAATTGCATAATGGTTATGTTGCTGGACACCCACATGGCCAACTGCATTTGAATCCTGGATCCAGCAGCTTGAAACTCATGCCAGGTGCATGTGTGTGCATGCCTAAAATTCTGAGAGGACAATGGAGGAGAAGGGATTGTGGCATGGCCATCCCCTATGGTGGATGATTTCTCACTTTCTTTCTCTCCAGTGAGCACATAAGCCATATATATATATATGTATATATACACACACATATATATACATATATATTTTTTTATATATACATACATATATATAAGTATAATATATATATATATATGTACATTTGTGGAAAGACACCCAAAAGTGACACATGACATATTAGAGTCTGAAGTGCAGCAGGAGGTGCAGTCAGTCACAATGAGATAAAGTGACACATGAAGGCTTTGGATGATACGGAAGTTATGGGAGGGAGAGTACGAGAGAGAGGGGAAAATTACCTCATTTCTGGACCCTGAAAACTAGAAGAATAGCATTGTTATTTTAAAAAATAGGACAATCCTAACTGAAACTAGTTTGGCAGAAAATGTTGGTAAATTTAGCATCGTTATTGTAA